GCTGGAATAGCTTTTTTGTCATCTGCTGAAATCAAGTGTGCTGAAGGAAAAATCGTTTCTGAGCTCAAGTGAACTTCTGCAAATGTGCCTAGTGCAAATGCAGCCAGTTTGTAGCTTGAATTGGATCTCTTTTTGGGCCTGAGGGCTCAGAGGACAGAACTGATAAGAAAAGTGACCAGCCTGAGTGTTTAATGAGTTCCAGGGCTGTGAGTGGTCAGAGGAGGCTATTACCTTTGGAAATGCCATCATCTCCCATCACTCTCTCTCACTGTGATGTGACATTTCTCCAAAGTGCTATATTCATGGTGAGTCAAATGCCGCTTGATTTTGCAAATGAGGCAGAAGGAAAGTCACTATGCTGTCATCCTCATAAAGAACAAATTACTATCTGTAATCAGATTAAAGCAAGAAATTTGATACCATGTTTACATTATGTTGCTTTACTATGAGTCATCTGATACTCTGCTGGCTAAATGTCATTGAACTAATGTTTACGAAGTTGTCAGAATGTTGTCTAATGCACTGTAGGTCGGGTTTTGGTTTAAAGTTGAGATATATTTTCAGTCAATTAAAAGATCAATTTTAGGGGCATTTAGAAAGTGTATGGCTGGGTAAAATTTAGTCTCACTAGGTGGATGTTTCTAGATTACTGTGCCCAAAACTGACCCAAAGTTGCATCGGCTTGTTAAGTTCAAGCATACTATTGCATTATTGATGGGTCAGTTAGAAAGTCAGAAAGTGTTTGCCGCCATTTGATATAGCATAGCTTGTCAGGAGTGATAGACAACTGCCTAAAAGCTGCCTGAGAAGACCTCAAGGACAAAATATCTCTTCAGGGTTAACGTATTTGTGAAAAAGTGCTTTAAACTGGGTAAACTCTGAGGCAGCTAAAGACCAACCAACACATATGAAAGAGGTTTAGTCACAGAAATATCTGACTTCAACCAATGGTCCAAATTAAACTCAGAAACAGAACAGAACACACAGTAGAAATTAGAACACTGACATACACAGGAAATGGTAAATGACTTAACTTGTTAAACACAGATCAGGGGTGGTAGGTAACAGAAGAAGACAGAGGTGAGCTAAATGAGAGAAGTGTGAGAGCAGTGAGAAGAGAGGGCTGAGAGAGTAGGAGGTGAGGATGTGCTGGGTTAGGTGCACAGCAAATGGAAAAAGAGAGTAAGAGAGAGTAGAATGAAATAAATATATAGGTGTATGTGAGCAGAAAGCTTGGCAGCAGGGAGAACAGCCCAGACAGCAGCAGATCGGACAGACATTCTGCAACGGCCTGAATCATTGATTCTTCTTTAGTTTTTATGGAGATCTCAGTAAACAAGAGCTCCGCACTGTGACAGAGGAGTTGTCTTCTCCAACAACTTCTCCATTTCGTTTTGGTCATTTATTCAATCCTGCTGTCTGTCTCAAGGTCGACACCAGCATTTTGTATTGTATTTTCTGACATTGATCGCTTCCATCGTGAATGTTAAAAAATGTTGACTGAGCAAACAAAATGCAACCAGTGGTCTCTCGTGTCAAAGTTATCTGCCTTCGTTTCAGACAAATGAAGGTTATCAATTACACAACCAGCTCCTTATCAGATAAAATTCTAACTAAATTGTACCCGAACATAAGACTATTGCTTTTCTAAGGTGGACAGCGTTATTGTCCACATTTAGATTTTTGAGCAAAGTCTTTCTCAACACTGGAGACTCTTGGATAATTAATCGATAAGATATTGTCCATATTATGGCCATTATTTACACTTTGTTTCTGAATTATTATTATTTTGTTTCCATTTGTTTTGCTACTACAGTAACCATAAGCCTCAGCTGCCACTGATGTGGAGAAGCCAAAGCAATCAGAGGGGCAAATCAGATCTGTGGTAAATTGAAAACAATTTGTCATAGTGAACAAAACACTGCAACATAATTGCTTCATTCATCCAAATTTGATCCAGAATTCAAATGTGACAGTTTTGCCATTTTTAAAGTTTGGCCTCAGCTTCCTATTAGCGTTCCTGGCAACACAACTGTAAACTCTGAATGTGTGGAAGCCTTCTACCAAAGTGCTTCTTGGGAGTCATAGTTGACCTTCTCTCCTAATGTTTCTTTTTAATGTTGACATGCTTATAGGCTACCTTTTACTTTATATTAAATAATAATAAAATGATCAGGACTTTCACATCCTGAACCTGAATGGGCAGAATAACTCAGACCTCACTGCTCTAATTAACATCAACAGAGATTACATCCACTGCTCAGATCAGCAGCAGCCCCGACAGACAATTGACATTGCCATCATCAACCCCTCCCGCACAGGCACATGCACACAAACAGATCAACAGGCCTGAAAAAGCACAGCACAGAAGAGACCTCCATAACATGTAGCATACAGAGAGCTACCATTTAAATGACTTACTCTGCCACAAGGAAAATGATTTAAGCCTTGATTTGATTATTGGAAGCTATTTTGGTACAACACATGAGCAAATAAACGCTCAGTATGGGGCCAAACTATGTCAACTCGCTTCTTTCCCACTGTTAGAGACTGGCAAGAGCCTCACATATGACTATCAGTCCCCAGCCAGCCCACTGTTTGCCAGTTTGTGTGTTCAAATAACATTACTATGATTACTAAGATATAAAATATGCCCTCTAATTTCTTTTCACAGCACTAATATCCTTATTTCCTCCTAACTCTGACACAAAATTGCACATTTTGGTGATGAAACTTCTTCATAAAGATTGTGTTCTAATTAAACCATAATCTGAATGTTTTACTGACTTTGAGAGCCTTTTGTGAGGATTTAGTTAGGATTTTGACTATTTAACAAAAGCATGCTTAATAACACAATCACACTTAACACTTGTGCATATACGTAAGTAAATGTGATGGTGAACTGTACATACAAGGAAATTGTGCTTTTGGGAGATGCCCTGACAGCAAAACCCTGTGCACAGCAAGATTTCCACCAATGTGAAATAAATAAATTATAGATAATGATAAAAATCTGCAGTATCATGGGGCATGGTGAAATGCAAAACAAATTCACAAAAAGCTAAAATTAGAGTATAATGAGATATTTTAAAATTGTTGAATTTGAAATCACAGAGTTAATAATTCATGACCTGTTCATGACTCCGGCTGTAAACAGAAAGACACTGTAGTTTGTGGGAGAGTTTGCAGCTTGCACTTTTTGTTGTGCTGTGAAATGATGATGTTGAGGTAACAGCTACCAAAGAGGAAATTTAGTTCATATACTATTACTTTAAATTGGATTTAAAACTTGAATACAATGTGAATGAATCCCAAGATATGAATGAACTGGAATCATTTTGGGTTCCTGGTTATGCATGTTATGTCTCCCCTGTCACTGGTGAGAGCTGGTTTTCTGCATTTCATTTTGTATGGGTTCTTTACACTGTTTGTTGAGGATATGTTGTATTTTGTTATACAAGCTGTGTTTCCCCCTACTGGTAAATTTTAGGTTATGATTTGTTGCGCTTTATTTTGTATGTGTAATTTGCATTGTGAATGAGACTGATTATATGTTCATGATTTCAGATTATTGCATACAAATGTATGCATTTGGATTGATTTAAAGATTTTTTTTAAATTATAACTGGGGTTTTGATTTCTTAGATATACAACCTGTTTGTGCCTACATGATCATTTGACTGACAAAGACCATGTTGGTCCAAATGTAGCATTGCATTTGCATGTAGTCTAATACATCTGTTATTGAAAAACTTTTGCTGGGTCAGTGTACAGACAATTTCTTTCACTCTCTTTTAAATTAAAAGTAGCACAAAACCTCTTTTAAACTGAGCATAAATTAATGTCAGTATCCTCAGCAGTGAGATCTATTGATTTTTGGGAGAATTTTATTTTTTATGAGAACTGAACCTTTACCGGCTTTTTTGTCATAAAAGCAGTGGAGAGGAGGCACACAAAACTCTTTGATTCTGACTTTCCTTAACTGAAGATCTTTTAAGAGTCCACATGATGGACAGTTGCCACAATTCAGGCTGCTTCATTCAGCTCTTTCAACACTATCAACAAGTGAGTGGGAGTTTATTCAGCCTCTTCATAGAGGCTAACACCACTTTCTCTGATTTTTAATGTGGAAGGTCACTCAGTATAGCCACCTGGCCAGATTCACTCTGAATAACACAGACGGTTATGAGATGCTGCACTTTCAAACACATAACAGTTTAAGATATCATGCCTGTAGAGCTGTCTAATAGCCTACACTGTCTTTGACAATAGCATTCTGCACTCACACATCTCAGATTTACCCACAATATTTTACGAAGTCTATAAAAAAAACCCCCTGAATGACGGCTTGTGAATGCTGAAACTCCTATTTTTCCTGACAGTGAACTGACAGACAAAACATACTGTAATTACTGTTAGCAATCAGACAGGATACATTTGGGATTTGTTTGGTACTGCTTACTTCAGCTAAGATGTTTTCAATGAAATGAAATAATTAGAATCTATCTTTCAAATAGAAAATACTGTAGCTTCTTGCCAAATGGTTTAGGAGCAATTCCGGCCCTGGTGAAGGTATTAGTTTCATGTATTCCTGTATGTCCTTCACACTTGACCACTTCAAACACTGATAATATACACTGGGTTAAATTTGGATCGTGCATTAATACGTTTATTTAAAAAGAGGGTAGATATGGTCCATATTTTAAATACATCTGTTCATTAGTCATCAGTCACAAAAAGAAACTGGATTTGACCACTAATATTAGCCCAAATTAGCAGAATCTCAGGAGGAAAAAAACTAATCCTAATCTTTTTACGATTTTAACTGGAGGTGTTTTAATTTCCTCAGCCAATCCCAGGAGCGCACCTTTATATGCGTGTCATTTATTGGCTGCACGTAAAGACACCGCGGATGTAGCCAATGAAATTGTCTGTGTAACCAAATATGGTCAGTAGTGGACGGGTCCTCTTGGGATCAAACACACCCGCGTAAAGGGAATCAGTGTGTTGAAGACGCCATATGGACAGAGTCGAAGGTCGCACAGATAAAGTTCACACAAGGCAGAGGAACAGTTTTATAACTAGTCCGACTTCAGATATGTTTCTTTCAGAGTCTGGAGATGAATTAGAGGAGCTTCATTCGGACTTAGACACTGAGAGTGAGTACAGCAATTGCAGTCTGGACGAGGACTATGTTCCGAAGGGGCTGGCCCGAGGATCAGACCAGTGAGTGCTACCGTTAATCTGATTTGGCTTCAGTCCAGAGAAATATACACGCCTAACCTAAATATGATGATATAAGGTGTTGACTCTGAAATGCAGAGTTCATATTACTCCTGAAAAGGGCAGGGCCATCACACTAGCGGGACAACAATTTAATATCAGGCACAAAGCCTAAACACCAATGCGCCAATCATTTCCGTTTTGTGTGCAGCATCTTCAGGCTTGTCCAGCGCCTCTTACAGACCGTGCGTTAATCCCAACTATTTGTGCACATGCCTCGACCCCGTTGTTTTTGCTGAAGTTGCCGGTGTTGTTACGAAATCTGTTTCCCTATCCTACAGTGTTTCCCGTGGCCTTAGGGCAGTTAGGTTCAGCGTCAGAGGGCGAATGGTTTGATTTATGTTTAGTTTAGGTTAGTAAAGGGAAACACACAGGGGCTTGTCCTGACAGCACAAAGAGTAGTTAAGGATGTGTGCACAGCAGCAGACGCACTGGAAAGCCCATGCCAACCACGTGAACCTGCCGCCTTTGTTCTGTACTGCTGATACTCTAGTGCTGTTTAACAAAGTTTACGACAGCGTTTTTACTTTGCCCACAATAACCATCGAATTTTAAGCTATTAAGTTCGTGCTCGTCGCGAGCGCGTGCTCGTCGCGGGCAGGGTGTCAAGTGTCCCACAGCAGAGCGCACAGACGGTGGTGGGAGAAGTACTCACATTCTTTACTTAAGTAGCAGTACAATAGAGTAAACATATTCTGTTACAATTACGTCATGCATTCACAATGTTACTCAAAGTTGAAATGTATTATCAGCTTTATATTACCACAAGTAATGACAGGCACGTTACATATTAATGCTTTATAGACTGATCTTCTGTATCATTAATCCTTAACCTATCTATATTATTTATAGGGAAGACTTCACTGATGAAGACAGTTCAGATGAGGAGTGGGAAAGTACGCCCAGAAAGAGAAGTTGTTCCAGGAAGCGTTGCCGTTCTGCTTTTGCTTCTCCAGTGTCATCGCCCCTGAAATCCCAGTCTGACAAAAGGGGACCCCACAGGGGTCCTCACAGAAAGAAGATCCACTATGCATTGACCCCTAAACAAGACTCCTCCTCCCCCAGATCTGGTAAGACATCCTCCACACCACGCAGGAAAAATGCAAGTGGAAAGAGGCAAGCAGAAAGGCTGGTTGTGAGTGAAGAAGATGATGAAGCAGATGATGGAGACCGGTGGCGTAACATTGAAGAAGAAGATGTTGCGCCTCCTCAACCACGGTTCAGACCTGATAGAGACGTAGGGCCGCAGCTGAACAGAACCGCGAATTACACGCCACTTGAACTTTTTCAGTTGTTCTTCTCTACGACCGTCATTGATACGTTGGTTAAACACACCAATGCCTATGGGAAGCTGAAATGCCAAGGCCAGAAGGAAAGCTGGGTGACAGTCACAGCAGCAGATATGTATTCTTTTATCTGCCTTGTCCTCTACATGGGTATTGTACCACTAAAAACACTGAAAGAGTTCTGGAGAGGATCTAAGCTTTTCAGCCTGCCATTTCCTGCCTCTGTCATGCCCTGCAGACGCTTCCTAGCCATCTCCCGCAGCCTACACATGAATGATCCTGCAGTTGAAATGGAAAATGACCAGAAGAAAGGTACATCAGGGTATGACAGACTTTGCAAAATAAAGCCACTATATGAGCAGATTTTAGAGGCCTGCTACACTTTCTTTCATCCCCACCAACATATCTCCATAGATGAACGGATGGTAGCGAGCAAAGCAAGGACTGGATTAAAGCAGTACAGTAAAAACAAGCCCACTAAATGGGGCTTTAAGCTTTTTGTTTTAGCAGACTCAGTGTGTGGCTACACCCTGAACTTTTTCGTGTATGGAGGAAGAAAAGATAAACCCTCAGGCAAGGGCCTAAGCTATGATGCTGTCATGAGACTGCTCAACATCCCCTTCCTAGGCAAAGGATACAAGCTCTACGTGGACAACTATTACACCAGTCCAACTCTATTCCTGGACCTCTTTCAGAGAAAAATCTGGGCATGTGGGACTGTCCGTTCCACCGTAGCTGGTTATCCCAAAACGAAAAATAATAGTATGCCAAAGAAAACACCAAGAGGAACTATCCAGTGGATCAGGAAAGGACAGTTGTTGTTTGTTAAGTGGATGGACACCCGGGAGGTAACAATGTGCTCCACCATACATAAAGCATACAGCAATGAGATGGCAACACGTAAAATGAAAACTGCTGAAGGACAGTGGACAGTGAAGCATGTGCCTATTCCAAACTGCATCAAAGATTACAATCGATACATGGGGGGCGTTGACTTGTCAGATGCACTCATTGGCTACTACAATGTCCTCCATAAAACCCAGAAATGGTACAAAACTCTGTTTTATCATTTTGTGGACATAGCCACTGTGAATGCCTTCATTCTCCACAAAGAAATGTGCAAACTGCAGAATCGACCTACAGTTACACAGAAAATCTTCAGGGAACAACTGATTTTGTCTCTGGCTGAGATTGGGTCCACTCCACGCAGGTCAGGTCCACAAAACCTTATGCTGCTGCTCTCGCCTTTCAAAGTGCCTCCTTCATTCAGAGTCCCTCCTGCCTCCTCAACACCACTTTCTCTGTCCACAGTACCACCTGCCTCTCCAGCCACTGAGCTGCTCACCTCACCTCCCTCCCAATCCACAGCACCTTCTCCCTCCAAGGTGCCGCCTCCTACAGCCCCTGATGCCCCAGCTTTAGGTCACCTGCCAGCTTACTTTGTAGAACAAATGACCAATGTGGCCTCCAGAGACAGGGCCACTGTTGGCAGAAGGGCATGCGTGGTCTGTAAAAGAAAGTCACCAGTGTATTGCAGCACTTGCCGAAAAACGCTCTGTTTTACTACTTTAAGGAACTGCTATAGTAAGTGGCATAGAAGCAGTAACATCTGTATCTAAGCGACTAGCCTTACTTGTCAGTCTGTATAAAGGGTCTTTAATAAGCAGAGTGAACCATTTTATTCAGTTGTCCTTCATAGATGTGCCTTTGATCATTACTAGTGAACAAGTCAGGTGTATCTTGGTTCTTTTGTCAGACTCACATAGATGCATAGTCTAAGCTGTTACCCCATAAGGTTGTTGCATCATGCTTATATGGTTAAACTGAGTACTTAAAAAGACTGCTCTCAGAGGGTCTCCAGGTAATATGAGATGTCTTGTAATTGGTAGAATAGATAATAACCTTAAAAACCTGTAGATAGTGAACTAACATGATAAATCTACCTGTTATGTTGACTTGTAGAATTAACTTTTAAGATACCCCCCTATGCTTCAGTATCTCCTATTATAATTAAAATACCAAAAAATGTTTCTAAAACCATTATTGAAAACAGCAGAGAACAAAGCATCTTACCTACCTAGTTGCATGTTACAGTGCTGCCTGGTTTCATTTTATGGAGAGCCTAGCAGCAGCTTTGCTTTAGCGACGCAGGAGGGGGTTGCAACTGCCATTCATGGGAGTAATAATGTTCAGTGGGTTCTCAGTCTGTGAGGGATTCTGTTAGGTGGTCTTTGACCATCCTGCTTTAAAAAGCATTATCTGGCAAAGTGACTGGGAGTAAAACTGGACTACATGCTGTTGAGGAGAAGACGCTGGGCAATTTTATTTATAGATCTCATCCTAAAACTGCAGCTACTTGGACTGATTACCTTAATCTTGTGAGGTTCACAGAACTCCTCATCTGAAAACTGGACTATCATCCAAAAGCACCTCTGAAGAGTGATCTTACACCCAGTGACTCAGATTCAGCATCATAAGTGGATACATATCTATCTCCGGGGGAGACTGCTGTGAAAACACGTACCTCACGGCATCCTCTTTTGTTGTCTGCAACTAAGATTCTTCTCCGTTAACTTCTTGTATACTGTAAACTTGGAGGAACAGGATTGATACTCAGGTATAACTGATGCTGAAGATGTTTTTAATGTATCACCGAGTATGTTTACATGTGCACTAGAGTCAACATGGAGTTGAATTATCCTGGTGTTCATAGTTGTAATATGTTTTTGTTTTTTACTTGAAATATAAGAGTAACTGTTCAGTCAGCTCTCCATTTCTGTCACTACCCAGGTTTGGATTGTTTGGCTGGTGGTTGACTCTGTCATCTCACATAATTTCTGGCATTCATAGTTGCCACAGCACTTGAGGATAAACCCACCTTGGTTTCTGGCTACATTTAACAGCCGCTAGAGTTGGCTTGTTCGACTCCCCACAGCCACTGTGGTGTCACTTTGAGGATGCACCAGCACAGGTGGTAGGTAGCAATTAGAAACAAATGTAAGGCGTTATTACGCCCAGTACGGTCTCAGGTTTTGATGCCAATATAAGAACAGTTTGTGAAACACACTGACTTGTACAAATAAACACACAGTTTTAAATGTGGTGTTGTTGGTACGTCAACAACACACCGACTTGTATCTCAGGAACTTTCTTTCCACTGGATCCAAACATTTCAATTGCTTGTGTATATTTAAGGGATTTTGTGTTAACAGAAATACACTATCAGTGTTATTGCTAAGTGAAAAAAGTAGTTACTTTCCTTTCCTTATAGATAAATTGGTTGTGGAAGTGAACAGGTGCACCCCTGTTGAAAAGCTGACACATTCTCCGAAAGAGAACCAACACCTGGGCACATAATTTTGGATTATATGAACACATTACCAAAGCAAGTGTCAGAGCTGTTTTATCTTAGTGCCACTGATTAAATTAATTACCTCTCTAACACGTCCAAATCTTTTCCCGTGTCTCCTTTGTCATTTTTTTAACAAATTATTTTTTATATTATATGCATTTGTATGTAGGGGGATTTGGAGGGAATGAAACCACATGTGTGTGTGTGTGTGTGTGTGTGTGTGTGTGTGTGTGTGTGTAAAAATAAAATACATTTTTAAAAGGGGTCTGATATCTTTTTTTTTTTGCGGTGATTGGAAAGTGAGATAGATCTACTTTGAACTTATAATCATTTATAATGTGTACGTAGTGCTGATTTTGGTGTGTTTGATACATTTGTAAAAAAATTAAAAGTATATAGTTCAGTAAGAAGAAAAAGTCAAAGATAATCACATTTGCTAAATTCAGACAGAAATGAGCTAAGATCATTTAACCACGTTGGTAGAGATACTCAGCAAATATGATTCACTGATGCTAAATATGTAAAATAATGATGTGGCACTTTGGAAGTGTTACAGGTGTTACATTTTCATTATCATAAAATGAATCATGTCAAATCTACTTTTGTCTCCCAAACTCCTGTTTTAACCATTTTCATGGAGAGATCCTTTGAATTTCAATCAATACTCCTATTCCTAAGCTCTATTTTCTGTTTATTCGTTCAGCAATTGAACTGTCATGCTGCAGCATTTGCTTGACAATTATGTCATACACATTCATCAATTCTGTATTGTCTTATAAACAGTTTAAAAAGCGCACACACACACAAACTACAAAAGGAGTAATGATCTGCGTGAGGATAAAGACGAGAGGTCTGGAAGGTTGCTGCTGCTTCTCTGTGTGTATGTTCTTTATATCTAAACGAGTTCACATGGAAAGGTGCGAAACAACTGTTCACAGCCTCTCTAATTAGAACTGTAAAGATAATGTGAACATATATAATCAACTGATAACAATTCTCATTAATTATCACCAAAATCAGCAACGCCTGCATTCTCCGTTCTCTGTAGCGGGCGCCACATGTGCTCTCTATTACAAACATGCAAGGCGTGATTTATGCTCAACACCTTCTCTGATACCAGTATAAGAAAAGTCTAGGAAGCCAGGATATTTACACACAAACTTGTGTATATTCTGTAAACATGACTTATTATACTGTAGCTTACATCTCCCAGTCTAGCTCAGTACACAGTCCAGTACTACCTAAACTATTGTTATTGCAATGTCTATAAGCGCCTGTTGGCTGGATTACAAATAAAATAAGTACTACAAACAAGGCTGTTAGAAGCATCTTTTAACAAATTCATCACTGCTAATGTTATAAAACTATTTTGGCGAAACAGGAAATGATGCAAGCTTTTTTAATATTGTTCTCAAACAGTCACCAAGTCATCTCTACAATGCGGCACAGTGCCAGATACTGTGTGTGTGCAGTTCTAAAGGCTGTTTACTTTAGATTTATTGAGAGCTTTGAAAGTACTGAATCATGTATTCAGTTGCTCAGGTATTGGTTAATTATGGAATTATTGAGGGTCTCCATGTCAAAGGCATTTGATATTTTATTCAAAACCGAGTGGGAATGGGGTCTCAGGGAATTATTCTCAAGCAAATATATGAAAGACTGCAAGACTGACCTCCAGTCAGAGGAGACAGCTACATTATTCAGTGGGAGACAGCAGCAAGTGTAAATATGGTATATATGTATATATATGTATATATATATATGGAAATAAACTACACATCATATCAGAGCCTGAGTTCACTCAGGAAACTGTGATGAGTACAGACACACAGTGACACCAAACCAAATTACTGTGGCACAGAATGGCCCATATACTGTACAGTACTGTATTTAAACATTTTTGTCTGCAAATGAGATAAAATGCATGTTCCCTTTGATAACAGCTGAATGAAAAGTAAAGAAGACTGTGAAAGAGACTGGAATATGGGTTACAGTAAATAAAGCTAAACAGGGAGGCTGCATATACTAAAAGGTTATGAGTGAACTCTGATCTATTTCCAGTGTGACGGAAGCTGAGCCTGAATACACTGTACTGTAGGTGACGGCTACAGCACAGTTCTGCCAGTGGTTAATAGCCTGATTGCTCCGTTCGCAGCCAAAGCAGCCTCTCAGTTGAGGAAATATTACGTGAGCATCCTTCAGTGATTAATCTGCATAACCCTCTGTCAATCACAGCCACAGATGCTATTTGGTTAAAATGGGAGCAATTCTACAGGTGCTGCTCTGCACCTCATGTCTCAAGCCATAAAGCAGGAAGGTAAACTTTTGTTTCCATTTCACAGGAGATTAATAATATTCAAGAAGGTAGAGTGAGCTCCATCTATGACAAAATTTAATGTCTACAGGAAAAATAGACTGAGTTAATATCACACTACATATTCAAACCTTTCATTGCATTTGGAAATATGTTTGCTTTTCTATATCACAGAACATTTTCAGTGCTGGCCCTGAAGCCCACTGCTTAATGGTTCATGGGGTACATCCAAAGTCTCTTATGTTTTGCTCACTTGTGTTTTTTCCTTGCATCTTTGTCCCACCCATGTAAGATGCAAGGAAAAGATGCATGGGAAAAAAACAGGGAAAAAGGAATCAAGGAAGCATTTTTAGAGACATGAGACATCAGTTCCTCTGATCTATCACATGAAGCATCTAGTCACCAATTGATTTATGATAATGGGGATTGTCAGCCCATAAAAAAACTTCGGTGAGGATGTTCTTTTGTATCCTCCTTGCTCCTCAGAGGAGATAAGTGTCTTGGGACATCATTAATCCTCACTTGACCCAGAAGTCTTTCAGGTTAAGCAAGGATTGAGGAGTGTGGATTGTTCATATATGAAGACTTGAATCTAGTAGAACCAAAAGGTTCAGGCTCTACTTTCTGCCTAGTGCATACTGGAATTGGCTCTGAACACCTAACCCCCGTGTACCCCTGAATAACAGTAGGCAGGAAAAGACAATGAATTACTGACATCGTAAAACCACACTAGGTGATGAAAGCTCATTTGATCTGAACTGTTGGAACTATGACAATTATCCTTCATTACAATAAATGGCAGTGACACATCACAGGAAGATGTTCTTGGACTCAAACCCAAACACACCAGCTAGATTCTTTCTGTGTCAAATTGGCATTTTAGGTGATTACTTTAAAATTTGGTGCAATATGGACCCCCAGGAAGCCTTTGTGCATTCTGGTTTGTGTTTCTACCACACCTGAGGAACCTGGGACATTACAACTGATAACAGGTTCAATAGCAGTGGGTTTGATTGAGACTCAATTTATGTATGCTACAAGAAAAGGCCATCATTCTGTGACCATGGTACTAGAAAGGATGTGAAAATATTTATACCAACCAGTGCTGTGTCTGGGTGACCGTAAAGAAAACTGTTGACATGATGCAGTCATAAGACTTGTGCTTGGTTAATTAGTAATACTCACTGCAGCAAATTCATCCCCAGCAGTTCCTAGCGAATGGAAGTGGTGTCCACGACACAGCAGGAACTGTACCCTACAAAACAAAATATGGATCCTCTGGGCAAACCTGAGGTACAGTTCCTGTGTCAATAAATGTTCTTGGAAAAGTAGCCGAGGTTAAAGAATTAAAACAAATAATGTTTAACTTTCTGCCAAACAATGTGTGTGTTTCAGACTAGACATTCGAAGTTGAACAGTGAAGTAGATTGCCCACTCTGTGCAGCAACATTTTTCATCAAGAGAAACGGGTGTCACAAACCTTTCAACACATTATTCACTGTGGCAATCTGATCACTGACCCTAAGGTTGGCCAATCAGATGGACAACATATGGCCTAACTATATTATTTGCCCTGTCATTATGCTAATGGTTCTGGGTGTCAACACCCTGCTGCTGCACTCTGACAGGCTAAAGCCTTATCACATCGATACACACCACTACTTAATGAAGTCAGCAGCTCCCATACAGAGGATACTCTATCTGCTGTCCAACTCAATAAATAATCTAACATATGAATAACCCAGAGCAGCTGTCCTTGTGCCTGCCTACCTCCTCCTCACACAGCCATGCAGACACTCACTGGTCAGTTCTGTTAGTGTGCATTTTGGTGAGGTCCTGATTAGAGTAGGCCAATATTAACTTTGTTAGGTATTCAGTCATGGCACTGACAATGCACTGTATCCATTTGTTACTTATAGCATTTCAATAAAGTCAAAATGGCAGCACTTTTATGGGGCATATCGATACAGATTTACTACATTTATGAGAGGCACTGAGTTAAATAACCTACCTAGGGCATATGGCTCATGAACTGGCAAAGTTACTGCTACCCATGGTACTTATAGAGACATTTGGCAGATGCTGCCAGATGAATATAATGTAATGTACTGGGAAAATTCCATGTGTAAAAGTACACACTGAAGTAAAAAAAAAAAACATACAAAAACAAAGAATTCAATATTTAAAAATGTCTTTGAAATAATACAGAAATATGTAACACTAATATGAATGTTAAGTGTGCCTGTACATTGTACACTTGGCAGATATGTCTGTCATTCATCAGTTCCTCTCCGCTCAGTGCAGGACTAAGTCAAACCAAAGCTCCACCAGCTGCTCTTTATTAACACAACTTGTAATGCAAATTCAGCCATAAACCGACCTGCAAAAATCAATGTTTAAAGCCTTTTGGGAGGAAGCGTGTAGATAAACAGAAGATTTGTGTTTCTTCGCTTGTGACCACCTTCCTCTAACAAGATTCAAACACTAAGATCAACACGTGCTGTTGCATACCTAGCCTCGCTTTCTACAGCATGTTCTGGCATTTACTGTAAAAGACCCTGGACAACATTCATTCATTCATTAGACCCCTGGTGGTGATGATGGTGATAGCTCTCACTAGGCAGCCAGACACAGCGGTATTGCAAAAACACAGGTGGAAAGCAAATTGTATTCCACCAATAGCACTACACAGTTTTCCCTGCCTGCAAGATGTTAAATACACTATGATATTTAATGTGATTTATAAAGAAAAGGGAGGCAAGCCTTCAATAAGGCTGTTTAAAGTGGTAATAATCCATTATTTTGAACTATGGGTTGTTTACTTCTCAGTAAGTTGTTT